ATTTACAATTTTTTCATAATTAGGATAAATTTCATCAACATAATTTTCATAAAAATCATAAATCATCTTAAGATACTCATCATTATCACTTGAATCAACCCCATCAATTTCATCCTCACTCTTACGAATTTCATAGCATCTTAACATGTTATCCATAGAGGGTTTCAAATAAAACACCTTTTTCACCTCAAATAGAAATTCTATCCTTCCTAAACGTTGGTCGAGAATATTCAATAATTTACCATCTCCATCGGGAATAGTGGCCTTTGTAAATATAAATGTATCGAGATAACTTCTATCGAGAATAATGTAATCATAATCCTGTCCTAATCGCTTAATTTCATTCATTTCAAAAAAATATGCATTAATCATCGCATATTGAAAGAAAAATGGATAGATATCCTGATTATGTTGAAATAAACGTAATTCTCCTTCAAGATTTCGTGCAACTTCTCCACGTAACATAACATGCTTTCCCTTTTCAGTAAGGTAATTCGAAAGCTCCCGCGCGAAGGTCGTCTTTCCAACCGCAATAGCTCCGGTTATAATAATGATCTTTGGATTCTTTTTGCAAATATTAGCAATGGAACTGCCAATGAAATCAAAACTTCTAACCTTGATTAATAAAAAAATGAAGATGATAAACGCGATCTTAAAAATAAATTGATAGGTCATTTCAACAAATTCAATATAATAATTCACCGTCGATCGATATAGGTGCATAATTAAATTACGCAAATTACACCCCGCCCTGGTGCATAAGCACTGGGCGAGGTTTTCTTTATTTATATTTTAAAACATATCAATCTTTAATATCAGGATTTATTCTTTTTGAACTAATAAAATCATCATCCTCGATCTTTCTTTTTTCTCCTTTCTTTCGATTCACTCTAAAACTACTAATACTCCGTAAAATACTATCATATACCATTCTTAATGGAAATATTAACGGATATTCTAAATTATTAATCTCCCTGTAATTAAAACTCATCCACCCATCCAAAGTCTCATGAACACATGCCAAAAAAATATTACAAACGTTTAATACATCATCCATTAGGAAATACTTGACCTCCATAATTTTTCGGAGATTTTTATGTGGCATAATAATTCCAGTTTTATCTTCCACCTCGCGGATAACACATTCCTCAAATTTCTCATATACCCCATCAGATCTCATTCTTAAATAACCACCTGGGACCCGATATTCGTTATCGCGAAGATTCATCCATACATTTTTGTCATCATCAATCAAAATACAAAATGCGGTAAACATAGTATTTTTTTCAATTGCTGAATTCTTTAACTCTAACTCTCTCAACTCGATATCAACGCGATCAAATTGTTCCTGAACTTCACCTCTATCTTTATACAATGATTCATCGACAAGTTTATACGCATTCAGCAATAATCCAATCTTCTCTTTATTCTTGCGCGCGAGTCTCAGATCATCCAAAAATACCAAATGTTTCTTCATCATCTCATCCGAGTATTCGATTATATTGTTGAAATCAGTCATTTTAAAGTTACGCAAATAACACCCCATCCTGTGCGCAAGGCACTGGATGGGGTTATTTATCAATTTTATTAAAATTAATTAACACAAAAATTATTATAATCATGACAATTATATATTTGAAACTAACATTCACATCCAATTTAATCCTATTAATATCCAATTTTAAATCTGCTCTCACTTCTCTCCCATCTGACGTATTTGAAATTTCATAATTTGCATTTCTGTAATAGGATATGATACAGTCTGAAATACTATCTTTATCGGTTAAGAGAATTATATTGTGATTGTGTAATAAATCATAACAATTTTTACTAAACCCATTTGCCGATATCAAAAGACCCATTTTTTTCTCAGTCTTATTCATCTCAAATGTGGTGATGAATTCTTTCACATGAGTCACGCCAACTCTAGATGCCAAATTCTTACATTGAATAAGAACAAGCATGTCTTTATAAAATAATATCAAGTCAATTCCTCCATCACCTTGAATACTTCTAGTAAGATTGACAGTGAATGATATATTTTTTTTTAATATCGAATAAATTTCATTTTCGAATTTTAATCCTAAATAAATTGAGTATCAGTATCTCGTCAATTTCAGAGACAATTTTAACCATCCATCCTGACAGACACACGGATGGTGATAGTGACCCGACGGGTTTATCTTATCAAAAATGACATCATCGATAGGTACTCACCTTTATCATATCCGGACAATTCCCCTGACATGTTTGATTCCTTAACCTTGGGTTACGCAGATAACACCTCGCCCTGGTGCTTAAAGCACTGGACGAGGTTATTTACTATCTTCTATATTAATCATTTGACTTTTCGATGCCTAATTTTACTTTTACTAATTCTTTTACCAGTTAAGATATTATGATGATCTTTTTAATTTTTTCAGACACTTTTCCATCTCAATCTTCATTCTCAACTTTCCAAAAATATCCTCTAACATATAATAAATATAAAAATCAATACTATCCCGAAAATTTGAATAATCTAAATGAGTAATTCTTAAGTATTTTAAACTATCAATTTTAAACTCCCGCGTTTCGCAAATATAAAATTTATTTCTCATATTATCGGAAAATAAATACTTGACTTCTTGCAAACTAAGCTTGATATCAAATTGTTCACTTGTCAATCTGATTATCGCATCAATATCTTGCTCGGTGTTATATGGAAATCCATAGACTGTATCCCACATCTCAACAAAACTTGTATCGTAACCATCAATGTGATAGCAATCTTCATGATTCCTGAGGATTATATCTTCTCCCGAGATAAAAAATAGATATAGCGAATAATCCTTTTTTTCTGATAGTGATCTGAATATTTTTAAATTACACAAAAAACACCTCGCCTTGGTGCACAGGCACTGGGCGAGGTTTATTTTATTAAAAATATAAATTAATAAAAAATTAAACATTAGAATTTGAACTTAGCAATTTTCAAATCTTATAGATCTCAAAATTCATACCCTTCAAAGGTCCCTGATGAACATTTGACAACCATTCATAGTTTTGAGCTGTTTTTTTCTTCGGAAGCTCTTTCTCACTTTCATTTAGTATAGTATGTTTAATTTCATAAAAACGAAGAAGTTTTTTTAAAAATTCATTATAATTTTCATCTTCAATCTTGATTCTTTGAAATGCAATTTCATCAATGAGATTGCTGAGTTCGTAGGACTTATTGCATTGAAGCATCCACTTGGTCATCTCATTATCAGACAATGATTTCTTCTTTTCTACACCCTCATCACGTAACGATTCCGAGTCATGTGATGAATTTTCTTTTTCGATTTTAGATTCATCTTCAATCTTTCGTTTCTTATTGCTACTTGACTTTTCTTCCATAATTCAGTTACGTAATTAAATCCTCATCCCGGTGTGTATGCACTGGATGAGGAAAAATATTTATTTTAAGATAAAATAAAAATAAAAAATAAAAATAAAAATTCAATTACAAATTATCATTTTTGACGAATCCATGCGAAACCTTTCCTATACAATCGTGTGAGACATTATCCAAATTATTAGAATGCCAATTACACATTTCATAGTCAATTTTCTTATTCCAAACAGAACAACCAATTGGATGCATTAAATCACAAACAAACTTGCAACCGCAAAAATCCTTACATTGATGATTTGACATATCAGAAACATTATTATCCAATAAAAATTTTTCAAAATCTTCTTTCAACGGAAAACACACTCCCACCAGTATTAAATCACAAATACATTCATTCTTTAACAAATCGCAAAATGGTTCATAGACCCGATCACAATCGGAGCAATATGTGTGAGTATGAGTTTCCTCAGAAAATTTGTTACATGCATCGCACCAATTACCAAGCATCGAATATTCGTTAAAAGTTTTTTTCAATATGGATTCGGATTGAAACGAAGATTCATCATCCAGCTTGTATATCGTTGGAAGTTCGGGCAAGTCCAATCCCATTCGTCGAAATCATCAAGTCCCAGACAATATCCCTGTAAAACTGAATAGAGATCTTTAATCTCATTTGTAGATAATGAACAGGTATACGTTAAAATGTTTGAAAGCATTTTCATCCTTTCTTCATCTTGAGGTTCGATCTTGGGTATTTTCATCTTAATAGATATTTTGATTTTTTAAGAATGTTCGAATTGACATCTCAAAGCTCAGATGGCACGTCCTTTTATAGAAATTTGTAAATCTTAGATTATACAAATCTCGATTATAAGAATAATATTGAAATTTGATTCTCTATTTTTAAGTTAATCTAATCTATATTAAGTAATTTTCAAAATTCCCATATGTAGATTTCGACCCTCAAATCGTTTAATCTATTTTAGGGGGTTTTCAAAACTTCATATTAAAATTCAACCATGAAATCATTCAACCCATTTTAAGTTATTTTCAAAATTTCTATACATAGAAAGAATTATCACACCGAAACAATTTAATCTATTTTAAGTTATTTTCAAAATTTCTGTATATGTAACATTCAAGAATCGAATCTTAAATATACATTTTTCAAAATATAATTTATTTAATGTATTTCTATTTTATATTGAGTAATTCCATGTTATTGGAAATTTCGTCTAAATTATGTTTGTTTGAAATCTCATCTCGTAGGATGCTATCAAATAATTCATAATATTTTTTTCTATCTTTAAGACATTTAATAAAACTATCGATATCATCAAAAACTTCTTTCTTCATCTTAAAAAATAACTCATGATTACTCTTCCCTTCGTTATGAATTAGATCATCCTTTTTAGTAATTGAATAATTCAAATCCACGTGATTTTGATTTATTAACCTGTGACGTTCACTACCTCTTCGAACACGCACATTGATTAATTTTTTATTAATTAATTTTAAAAAATCAGCTCTCTGCTTATTGAATCGAGCAGATTCCACATTAAATTCATTAAAATATTTATAACCATTATTACTTAAGAAAAAACTTTCCAAAGTTGAATATTTGATATATTTTGCGATGTCAAATTCGTCGAAGATTTTTAACGCGATATCAAAAATTTCAGATTCATTAAATTCTCTTTTTTGAAAAATGATTTTAGACATTTTTTTTGAAAAAAAAAGAAAGCGATTTATTTATATAAAAATTTAACGTAAATAAAAATCAAATCAAAATTTAACCCAGAAATAAACAACATAATCTGGTTTATAAGCTCGATAATATCTATCATATGTAACCTTCGAATTCCTATGATTCATATTTACTAATTTTCCTTGCATTAATCTATTATAACATTTCCTTCTATATAAACGACATCCAAAATGTTTATCTATACAATCGCATTTATAAAATTCATTATATGACACCTTCTCCCACTTATATTTATTGCCATCAGGTACCGATAGTGAACGATACTCTTATCAAAATCAATTCGATCAGCTGAAACATGATTTTCTTTTACGATATACTCATCGCAGAGATGGCGACTTGACATTTCACTTAGTCGATTAAATCGATGATGGGATATAACTCCTCTCATTCTTAATCTCTTTTTTATCAAATATACGATTACAATCTTGATTTTCAACTTTGCAATTATTGCAAACTCTATTATTATCGCAGGCAATCTTCTTCTCAACACAGTTTCTGCAATATCTCTTTAGTCCACGCTTATTGGGTTTAGCACGAATACAACTGAATCCTTTACTCCTACAAAGATCACAGATATGATTATTATCGCAACGAATTTTTTTTCTTCTACAGGAATCGCAGGATATTGTGACCCTTTGTTGATTTCGATTGGTACTCATTTTTAAAATCAGTGAATGGGTAACCAATCTGGTCCTTTTATAAAAAATCGCTAAATAAAAGATTTTCTGATTGGTTCATAACCTGTTTAGCTTCTAATCATAAATAGAAAGTACTCTGATTGGTCAATATCTATCCATTTAAATCTTATAAAAACTCATTATGCAAATTATACTGCGAACAATCAACATGTCAAGAAATTTTACATCTAAATTCAAAATCAATGAAAAAAGATTCTACATCATATATCCACAACATAAAAACGATAAAAATGATTATAAAAAGAAATATGAATCATTAAAAAATGAACACAAGAAATTAAAACATTTCTTTAATCAAATGAAAGAAAAATGTATTAAATACGAAACCTTTATAGATTCCATTATTGAATTTATTAAGAATGAAAATTTATCAAAATCTAATCAACTCAACATCCCAACGAATGATGAATTTTCAACTACTAAAGATAATTATATATCCAGCGATGAGGATCTCTTTACCATCGAAAATGAACCTACACTTGACAGCAATAATCAAAATAAATCTGACCTCGATGGTTATAATCAACAAAACGAAATTGATAATTCCATCGAAAATAGTCAAATTATTCAAACCAAATTCTCAATCGAAAATGAACCCCAAACTTTTAATCAATTTAATGATTCAATAAACAAATCTTTTATCGATGAATATATGACAAATAATCTCTTTACTATCGAAAACGGACTGGGATTCAACTTCGATAATCAACAAAATGAAATTAATAATTTTATTGAGAGTAGTCAAATTATTCAAATCAATAACAAATCCTTAATTGAATATGAACCAAAAGCATTTAACGATCCAATAGATAATGAATTTTTCGTTAATGAATACATGACAAATGAACTTTCATCTCAAACTATTAATAATATTTTCAAAAATAATAATGATTATACGACCCAACCCAATATTCAAGAAATCCAATACAATCCATATATTAGTTATATACCCATTATTAGTATTCTTGGAGATGAATATGTTAATATTGATAATAATATATATAATTATTCAACATAAGTACTATCAATATTCAATAAAATTCATATTTGAAAATAAAATTAAAAATGAATCATCTATATTTAATTCATAATCAATCAAATTTAAAAATTTTCTTTCAATTCTATTGATTTCTCGTACGTCTAATCCTGTAATCACTAACCAATGCTTATTTAAATATACAAAATCATATGTATTTTTTCTCGCCAAAATAAGCGTTACCAGAAACATATAACGTCCACAATTAATCGGATACTCATTTAATTGTTTAATTTTACGTTCGATTTTCATTATATAAAATAATGCCACTTGAATATTCAGATATGTAGACCTAGATTTTTTCAAAATCTCTTCAATGTATATGTGGAGAGGTATAATATATACTTGAGGATTTCTATCCCAAATCTTTACTATAATGGATTCAATAATATCAATAACGCGTTTGCTACTCATTTTTTATTAAAAATTTAAAAAATTACCAAAATATCATTCGCCTATTTATATATAATTATCAAATTTAATGACGTATCAGTGATGTATCAATTAATAGAAAGGTGGAAATATAAAATATAAAATCGACTAACTAATATAAATATCTCATACTGTTATCCAAATTTATATTCCAAATAATGCTCATCACTAATTCTATACATAAAATCTTCCGCCTCAAACCACCTCAAATATTCATCTTGCCATCGTTTCACTCTCGCATTATATTCTTCATCGCCTTCATCCACATCCCCATCCCAACCCGCTTGTCGACACTCTGGTTTACTCGGAGGTCTTCCAGACTCAATTGTTACAAGTTTCGCGTCATCTAATTTAGTTGGTTTTATATGCAAATCTGTGCGATAAATTAAATCATTATTGGTAAAAAGGGAAAAAACTGCTAAGACAGTTGGAGAAGGACCTAACCCCCCGCAATATAGGTATGATATTCCTTTTTAAAAAGAAAAAGATATGAAAATCCAGGCGATGATGGCATCGCGAGTGAATTTTCATTATAGAAACATTACTCTCGGTAACAATACTAAAATTAAAATTCATATTTGTTCGTCTAGTCGCACATTTGTCTCTTCGTTTAGAAGTATATTTAGTAATCTGTTTCATAATTCGTTTAATAATTTTAAATTGTGTGCGTTTGGAATACATCTTTATACCCTTAAATCAAATGCAATAAAGCTACATCTTATATAATAAATCAAAAAGCTTTTATTAATCAATAGTTTCTTCCATTCAGCACTAATAGGGTCTAAATTCAAAAATTTTCTCGAATACCTATACACGATCAAAAATAATTACATATAAATTTGAAAATAAATCCACGAGAAGTAGAACTCAAAAAAAATATAGTATTAACACAAATAAAGCAGGTTTATTGTATAATACATTCGAGAAATTTAAATTGGATCACATACCTCTTATTCAACTTCTAATAATAAAGTTCACTTCGTAATCATCCGACTTCAAAAAATCTAAATTCGACTAGTAATTTTTTAGAAATTTTCAAAATTACCAAATATAGATAAATTTTATTTTTTATCTAAAAAACAATTGGTCCTCGCGTTAACAAGTAATAACTCGTTTGGTAAAGAATATTTTTTTAAAAAAATACTAATAAAATTCACATTTTGATAGTTTATACCACTAATACCAAAAGTTAATATTTATTTTATTGTTTGTAAAATGCAGATACACGTAAAATGAATAAGAAAAACAAAATAAAATCAAATTTAAAATAATATCAAAATATAATAAATAAATTTGAAAAAATGTAAAAAGAGGAAAAGACATAATTATAATAAAATAAAAAATTGAAAAATGATTAATTAATATATATGATATGGATCAAACTCATCATCGTCTGGATCAAGATAATCTAATAGCACCTTTATCAAAAAATATAAGCAAAATGTAATCATCAAAAATAAAAAAAATAATTCTAAATAAATGAAAAATTCGACCATTAAAATCAAATCAAAACCTGAAATCATCCACTTGATCCACGAAAGTAAATCAATATCCATAAAAAAGAAAATCATAATTTAACTTTAAATTTTCTTCGAGGGTAATTTGATGGCAGCTCTAATATTTTGAAAAATAGATTTTTTACCATTCGAATTATCTGTTTCGCTATTTGTTTTGCTATCAGTGCCATTGCTTTTGTGGGTATCATTGGATCTCTTATTAACTTGTTTATTACCTGTAGTATTTCCCGAAGGTGTAGTACCAGTTGGAAGTTTAAATTTTTTCAACGAAATTTCTGGAAATCGTTTTGACTTTTTCAAGTTCAACTTTTGAAATTGTATATATATAAATAAAATGATTATGAGAGTTACTGTTGTAATTATCAAATATTGTGGATATGACAACGATAGGATAAACACCAGCCAGAATATAGTTGCGTAAAGAATTTTTTTCATGCCGATTTATGAGAGGTACTTGGAATCTCAATGTGATGAGTAATGATGTAAATCGCGTGGACAAGACCTATAATAATCATAAATAATAATAAAAATTAAGATAAAAAAATCGAAAATTATAATAAAAATTAAAATCAAAAAATCAAAAATAAAAATAGATACCTGGAACGTATCCAAAAAATGTTAGGAAGATATTAAGACACAACTGGGAACCGCAACCTTTTAGTGCGATTACTCCAAAAGGGGGAAAAAAGATTGAGAGAAGTGTCAAAAGAATAATGTTATGTGGTTTATTCGAATCTGAAAACATTTTGAACTGTCCTATTCGAATCCAGCTTCTTATATAACGATGAATTCTAAGTGGCATTGAGTCTCAAATAGGAAAGTGGGTAAATACAAAACAGCATTGAGTCTCAAATAGGAAAGCGGGCAAATACAAAATGGCAATTGAATCTCAAATTGGAAAACTGGTAGAATATAAAATGTTAGTAAAATATTGTTGAATCTAAAATTAGAAAACAAAAATGGTTATACAATCAAATCACATCAAATTGGAATAATAGATTGAACAACAACATCCCTTGTAATCTCACCCAAATAGTTATACAATCAAATCACGCCAAATTGGAATAATTATAGATTGAACAATGACATTCCTTGTAACCTCATCCAAATGGTTATACAATCAAATCATGCCAAATTGGAATAATCCAGAATAATCATGTGAAAAATTATCCCGATTTTAATTTATCTTATTAAAAATAAGTTTGCGAACTTTCTAATAAGACATTCAAGCCCTATATAGAATGAATGAACAGTTTCGCAAAAATAATTGGTCTCTAACGAATTATATTTTTTCATTAGATGCTTTATTTTATTTTTTTTTTTTGAATTGTTCATGTTAATTTATTTTTTTATTTTTTTTTTTTATCGCAAACAGGCATTAAATGCGAGACATTTATTAAACATGGTTTATCGTCATTACATTAACAATCTTTAGTTACAAAGTAATTAAATTAATTGTAGCCTATCGCAACTAGTCAATCAGCACGCATTGAGACCAAGTAGGTCTTTACATGTTGAAGGTGTTGAATGGCTAATGCCTATTCAAAACGATGAAACTATGGCTGGAGTAAATATTTTTTTATCGGTGTAATTGTTGGAGTTTTCTAAAGCATTCATTAGATGCTTTATTTACTTTATTTAGAATAAATATATAGATAAACCGAATGGAAGATACATTGTCACAATCGATTTAATAAATCCAAAAATAGATGCGATTTCATAGATACGAGTAAGTATAAAAGAGTGGCAAACTCGTTTATGGGAACTTCAATCAAAAATGTTTAATCCAAATAATTATTTATACTTTTCAATCCTTGCTCTCGCAATCGTATCTTATTGGCAATACTCAAATGTTGATAAGATAATTTTTTTCGTTCTTTTTTTCATTATTTTTCATAATCTGACTAAACATATATTTTGAATGGTTTCTGGTTTCTTCTTCATCTCTTATACCCAATACTATGAAAGAGATTACACGTTAATAATTATCTGCTGCATCATTTCAAAAACATTTGATACCATTCTTATCAAGAGAAAAAAATCAAAAATTCGAAAAAATTTGACCAAAAATCGTAAAAGAAAAACAGAAGACGATTTGGAAAACACTCTCCATTAAATAATTATAAATAATATAAACAAACTGACATCACCCCCTCTTTTTTTAACTCAACAATGGACAAAATTAATCTTGATGACCCCCCCACGAAATCGACATCTTACACGCATAGTCTCAATTCTCCACAATTAACACCTGGCACACCTAAAGAAACACATTTTAATCATGAATATATCATCAGCTCTCTCAGAGAGGTCAATGATACTTACAGAAATCTTAATAATGATTTGAATCGCACGGTATTGCAGTTACAAAGTCAAATAGTAGCCGCTGAAAAGGAAAAGAGAATACAATCTTTAGAACTTCATAAAGCTAATATTACAATGGAAATTTTTAAAAAGGAAAAGGATTCATTGAAAGAAAAAGTGGAAACCTTAACAAATGAAATCAAATCAGTAAAGAATCGAAATGATTTTCTTACAAAGGAAGTAGAAAAATTACAAGATCATATCGAACAATTAATTTCAGCTAATGCTACCGATGATAATTCCTTAGACGATTTTGACCATACAATTAAAATTTTTCATTATTTGAGTGAGAAATTTCCCAATTTGCACCTACAAGATATTATTAACTTTTTAGATAATGAAATGACAAAAAATGCCATACAGGACATTTTAGAATTTTTCTCAAATAGAAAATACTCCATGCTTGAAATTCTTTTAATGAATATTTTATTTATATTTTTCTTATTCATATTATTAAATTACAACAGTAGAAATCTCTCATGTGTTATTTGTTAATGTATTATATTTCTTATTTTTTTATTCAAAATCATTTATACACAAAAAAAAAAAATAAAAATAAAAAATTATAAAAAACTCAAATTATGCGATTCTACACGTGTATTTTACTCATCTTAATAACATCATTTTTCAATAAAATACATTTATAAAAAAAAATAAATCATGTCAAAAATTGATACGGGATGAGATTTCATCAATTTAACCTATAAATAAATAAAAATCTTATTAAAATAAAATATATAAGATCAAATCGCATATATAAAATTACATACAGCGACTCGATTTTCATTACTTCACATTCTGACTCAATTTTCGTTTTCATTCTACGTCCCGACTTTGGTCCACGTTTTTTGGATAATTCTCTTCTCACACAAGTTTTACCCTTTGATTTACAAACTAAGCAAATAACTCCATCATCACAACGAATCCTCTTCTCAACACAATAATTACAAGCCATCATAACATTTTTTCTCATTTTCATTTTCATTTTTAACTGAAAATTTATTCAACCTTCTCGATTTATTTATACTATCATCGGAAAAACAAAAAATAAAACTTTATTAATTAAATACACAATAAATCTTGATTATGGAAAAACAAATAAAAATTTATTAACCAAATATATACATAATAAAACTTGATTGCGGAAAAACATTAATCTATTATAATTTGTAAAAATATCTAAAATTTATTAAACATCACGTGTGGCAAAAATGCCCACATGTGATGTTTTATCAGATATGTGATATATAATAAATCAAATCAATATAATATTAATCTCTAGTATACAAATAATACCTTTAACATCACGCGCGGATAATATCCTTAACCTTTTGCATTAATAACTCATCAAACAAAGGATTTTTATGAGAAGCCTCCTCATCATTTAAAAGAGCCTTAAGAAATTTATCATAATCACTAATAGATGTTGTCATTAGAAATGTGGCATTAATTCGAGCCTTCACGAGAAGATTCACCCGACATCGAGTTACATGAAATAATTCGATCAATCTTCACATTCCACTCCAATATCTTCGCTCCTGCCTTCCATCAATACAAAGAATGGTCATCATCTTCTCCGCAACAAGACCGCGTAGGATTTTTGATGTAGGTGGAACCCCATTCTTATGTTCATAATCCATTATAAGTACCACAAGCAATGACAAAAATGGTTTCCGAAGATTGTATATCATTTTCAACATATTCTTATCAGCTTTCCGCTTAACCAATCCAAGTCTATCATATTGAATGATCCACTTCTTAAAGTAATTCTCCAACATCTCAATATCCAATGTCGAATAAGATGGTAGAAATGGCAGGGATGCGAATGAAAAATAAATATCATCAACATCAAAGAGAGAATCGAAATTGGATGTGAGAAAAGATTCAACCGAATCATTCCTCGAAAAAAGTTGATCACCACGTATATCCAATTGATCGGTTGTAACATTGATAAAAATTTTTTTTAACATATATGCCCTACTAGCCGAATCATTTATATTATATTAATTCAAATTCAAATTTTTCATTAATTAAAATTCAAATTTTTCAATAATTCAATAATCTTTAAGAATTAACCTTTCGAATCTCATGCATATCAGTATCAGATTGTCAATTCTAAAAATATGATTATTAGATAAAATAATTATAATAAATATCATAACATAATACTTACATCATTATCTAACTTT